AATGTTCTCCTGTGGTGATCCCACAAACACTGACATTTGCCAATGCAAGAGAAGGCTTTTAGTTCACTAGACAATATCCTGGGCTTCTTTGAGATCTCTTGGAAGAATTATTCCCCTGGTTCTTGGTGTGATCTTGGTCAACCGCTTGGTGAAGATAATTGTGTTGAATTTCCTCTGCACATCATCTGCCTGACAGTGTATTGGCAGAGTCCAAACTCTTCAGAAATAGTTTTGTCACCTTTTCCAGCTCGGTGAGCTCAACTTTTTCAGATATCCTCAAAAATCTTTGTACAAGTCATGATATGCTGGCTTCTTTTGTTCCAAAAATCAGACTTTGATAATGAATACCCAGAAAGAAGACAGGATCTCTCATACTCACACCTGATTATCATCCCATTGACTGAATTACCTGACTCTTCCTCCTCAAATGAATGGATAATCTTAGAGGTTCATACTTTTGTCACACAGATATGCGTAGTCTTATGTCTTCAAATAAACAGGTTTTGACTCACCTGTTTAACTGTGTTCTCTTTATCTAGTTTTAGGACATATGCACGGAATAGACATTTGGTTTTTCTTGTCTAAATATAACCTAAACCTTAAAAACCTTAAACCTCTTGCCTAAACCTATTTGATTTCCTTGCCTCTTCTCACCATTGAATTTCATTCTGTTAGATAGGGCCCAGTGTTCAAGTCTTTCAAGAGCCGTTTTGAACTTGAGCCTATCTTCTGGTGTGTTGGCTATTTCTGCAAACTTCATGTCTGCAAATTTGATGAGTTTTCCTTCTATTCCCTCTAAATCATTTATGAAGGTATTGAAGAGTAGAGGGCCTAAGACAGAATCTTGGGGTACCCCATTGCTTACTTCTAGCCACGTAATGTAATTCTATTAAGGACTACAGTTCATGGCATCAGTGATGGCAATGATGGGTCTGTCACAAGTTATCTCGGTTTCCATCACAGGTTAGACCTCAGTTTTGCCTCTGAATGTGTGATCTCACTGTGGGTATATTACCATTTGCTCTTTGTTGTAGATAGATCACTTCCTGTTCTAGCTTCATTGACTGTCACCTGATTCAAACCACAAGGCCAGGACCATTGAGTTGGTCTGTCCAGAAGTCTAATGGATCCATCAGGTTTCCTACGGGCACTTGTAGATTTCCCAATTCTTGCAGGCAAGTCAGATGATAACCTGAGACTTGATGAAGTTCGTCCCAAGTGGATTATCTCTGTTGGCTGATTACCATTTGGCTATTAGGTTTTCTGAGGACTTCAAGAAGATGAAGGTAAAAAAGTGATACTAAGTATGGAGACTGAGTTTGAACAAAGGTACCTGCCCAGGTTCAGGCCAACTCTATAGCGGTGAGAAATGAAATGTATTTATTTCTTCTTTTTTACTGCTAGTTGCTCTCTGGTATCCCTTTTCTTGGTGACCAGTTTCTTCTGGGTAGAATCCACCCCATTGTTTCATCTTCTGGTCATTGTTACCCCATTGCTTGACATTTTGTTAGCAAAGTCATTATCACTTTGGTCAGAACTTGACCTTGGCTGGGTCTTCTGTAGTGACTGGGCAGCTGTCTTGCCAGGTATTCTGGGTGTTTTTTCAGCCTGTTATTCCAAGGAAATGGAAAGTTGCTCTCTGGGATGATTTTAATTATGTGCAGACTGGATCCTTCCTAGGTATTTCTACAACCTTCCATTTTTGGTGAAGGTAATTGAAGAGGCATGTAACCCAATTGGTGATGGAAATTTTGGAAAATCTCAACATCCGGTGGGAGCCAGACTGGCAACCGAGAAGGGTTGGCAGGGAGGCAAATGGAGGTGACACCAGGGGAACTAACCCCCCTATGGTCCCTGCTGATCAAGCTGGTGGTACAGCAGCAACAGCTAGGAACCCAGAAAACCCTTCCCCCCAGTTGGTGCATGCACCAGAACTGCGGGACTTTGATTGGTTCATGATGGCCCTGCGATGACGGTTTGAGGACCCCCTCGCAGACCGCAAAGCACGCAACCGCATTGAAGTTGTAAAGCAGGGACGCCGGCCAGTGGCAGAGTATACCGAAGAATTCCGAGACCTGACGTCATGTGAACTGGCCAGACGATATCCTGGTAGACTGGTTCAAGGATGGGCTGAGTGATGAACTCTACAATGCTTGTGTGGCCCGAGGTGCCCCAACCCATCTACATGAGTGATATCTTATTGCTGAAGAGGCAGAGATCAACATGGCCAGAAATCAGTATCGGGCAGGACGAATGTGGAAGAAATCCCCACCCCAATGGAAACAAGAACCTTTTAAATTGCAAACGACACCTTTTCCAAAATCCTTAGTCTGTTTCAAGTGTGGAAAAGAGGGGCACCGAGCTGCAGAATGCCGTTCTCAGGCACTAGCTAGGAAACCAGATCACCCATTGAGGGGAAAACCTACAAAACCTGGCCAGCGCGGAAAGGAGATGGCCCTGAGAAGAAGGGAGACCGTAGAATTCCCACCCCCTCCCTTCTCTGAGGAGGAAACCCCAGGTTCGCAGCAGGAGGAACCATACTCATCTGCAAGTGATCGGAGGATGAACCACTGGTAAGCAAACCAATTAAACCGCTTACCTTGCCCCTGAGACTATTTATTCCCAACTGGGAAAGG